TTAAAACCTTTTGGTGTGCAAGGTAAAGTCCCAAAGCCCTAAGATGATTGGCAAGGCCCTGGATCATCTGTCCACTGTCTTTCTTTCCAGCCCCTCTTCCACCACTCTTTTCAATGAATTCTCTGTTCCTGAGCTGTTTCACAGGCTAAGGTCTTCTAGCACAGGTTTCAGCTCTGCCATTGTATAAGCCAACTACTGCTGGGGCTGGATGACAGTAGCTAACCTCTGAACATAGCTAAATTGGTAGCCTGGCCATAAATTACTCATATTGGGGTAAAGATGCATCTTGTGAAGAGTTGAAAATTCCACTTATGCCACTATCTTTTCTAAGCAATTGATTCTCCTCTGATGAAAATCATCAATTTTATATTTCATGTAAAATTAAGAGCTGGAAGCCAGGCATGGTGGTGTACACCTGTAATTTCAGCATTCTGGAGGCTGAGGCAGAAAGATTGAGAATTTGAGTCTTGCCTGGGTAAAAAATATGAAGGATTAGGGCTATAGTTCATTGTGATGGTACTGAATTCAGTCCCCATTGCCTAAATAAATAAAACAAAAACTAAAAGGAGGAGAAGGCAGATTTCTCTACCCTAGCAATTAAAAAAAGACTTAAGGAAATATTGTTTGTAGTACTCCTAAACAGTGACGTTAACTGGATTACTGAAATACTGGGACTTAGACTCGGACAGGCCTGATACCTGACACTTCCATTTACCAAATGTTTGGTGTTGGATAAGTGACATAAGCTCCTGACTTCTGGGGTTTGTGGAGTGGCTTCATCTGCTGCTGCCTTTCTCAAACAAGTTAGAGCATCTTATGTCTTTTGCCTGCCTCCAGCCCAGTCTTTTAAAAACCAAACACCATGACTTCAATTAAGCTGCAGCATTCTGATGGAGAGATATTTGAAGTTGATGTTGAAATTGCCAGTCTGTGACAATCAAGACCATGTTGGAAGATTTGGGGATGGATGATGAAGGAGATGATGACCCAGTTCCTCTACTAAACGTTAATGCAGCAATACATGAAAGGTCACTCAGTGGTGTACCCACCATAAGGATGACCCTCTTCCTCCTGAGGATGATAAGAACAAAGAAAAGTGAACAGATGATATCCCTGTTTGGGACCAAGAATTCCTGGAACCCTTTTTGAACTTATTCTGGCAGCAAACTACCTAGACATCAAGGATTTGCTTGATGTTACATGCAAGACTGTTGTCAATATGATGAAAGGGAAAACTCCTGAAGAGATTCACAAGACCTTTAATATCAAAAATGACTTTACTGAAGAGGAGGAAGCCCAGATACATAAGGTGTGAAGAGAAGTGAAATGTTGTATCTGATACTGCAACACTATAAGGATTGTCCCAAATACTAGTTGCACGGCTCTACTTACATTGTTAATATTAGATAAACAATAGACAAACACAAAACAATTATATTAGTATAATATTGCCTTATTGCATGTGTTTGCATTTGTTACAGATTCCAAACGAATGGTTGAATTTCTTTTAGTCTGAACAAAAGTTGCTATTTTCTTTACTCTCAATAAAACTAAACTGTGGGTTCTCTATGAAAAAGGGGGGACTGTGAAAGTCTGTATCTTACATGACTATTTTGAGGATGAAATAAGATATAAAATATCAAGGCTTCTAGAGTATTTTAACCATACTAGTATATTTTA